AGCGAGCGTGATCAGTGATATATATGTTTTTATATATGGCGCAGTTTTCATAACGCAATACACTATTTGTTCAACATAAAGTTGGTTTCAATCATTTCATTTATTTATTTTTTATTCATTTATTTATTTAGTTTCTCATTGAATATCAAATGACGCAAAGAAAAATTCCATTTTATCATTATTCTAAATTTAAAAATCTAAAATTAATTAATAAAAATGCCAAAAATATTTATAAAACAAATATCATTTCTCAGCAAAAAAAAAAACCGTTGCAGAAGTAGTAGTTCTTAAATGTATTTCTTTAAATAATAATTTTACTTTGAAAATTTTTATAAATAAAGTGAGTTTAACAATTAAATACTATACAATAAATAAATTATTTGTCATTTTTAATTTTATTATTATTATTTATTATTTATTATTTATTTTAGGTTAAAAGACATCGATTGGAAATTAATGATAACATTCTTAAGTTTTATGGAATTACAGAAAAAGGTAAAAATAATATAAATATTAACAATTATTTATTTATTATTTATTTTTAATTAATTAATTATTAATTATTTATTATTATAGAGAATACCAACAATTATATGATTGTTCTCGAATATGCTAATAATGGTTCTCTTCGTCAATATTTGAAAACAAATTTCCAAAAATTAGATTGGACTGTAAAATTAAATCTGGCAAAACAAATTGCAAATGCTTTAATGAATTTGCATTCTAATAATATAATTCACGAAAAATTGGTAATTATTTGTTTTATATTTCACTTTAGGAATTGATTAATTTCTGATCTGATTAATTATTTAATAATAATTTCATATTTCTTAATCAATGTTTGAATTAGTCTTCTGAAAGTATTCTTGTTCATAATGGGTCTATTAAAGTAAATTATTTCAGCATAAACTATTTAAAATCCCTTTTTACTACTATTACTATCCCAATTCAATATACCGATTTTAGATATTTAGAATTATTTAATAAAAGTTTAGATATTTACAGTTTAAGAATTATTCTTTGAGAAATTTCTTGTGATGTCATTTTTCCTTTTGAAAAGAAATTATTAACTAAATCATCACCAAAATTATCATCAACAGATAATAAAATTATAGATTTGATAAAAAATATTTTGACAAAATAATTTGTATCAGATTCAGATGAAGATATAGATACAATAAATATGGTGGTGGTTCGTTAAGCATGATATAGTAAATGAACTTTACCCTGTGCACTGTAAGTTGTAAACGTTGGTGAATAATGATTACTATTGTGATTTTCTTCTTCTATCCAAAATTTTGCACCATGATTTAGCCATTTTTCCTAATTCATGTCGCACAATTTTACATTGTTTTCGTTGACTAATTTTAATATCAATACAATTCACAATAGGTATTTTTAATTCTGCATTATTGACCTTTGCTTTTTTTTCCGTAACAAAGTTGTTGAAAAAAACATTTTAAAAGTCTTTACAATTTTTAACTAAAAAGAGATCAATTATTATGTTCTGAACCATTATACCATTTTTAGTAAATACAAATAAACTTTAAATTTATAGGTATTTCGTTACACTACCATAAATAAATTAACTCTCTTTGGTGAACCATTACACAGTTCACAACAAATAATATAACCCTAAAAATCATAGCGATAGTAATTTTGAATAGTTAAGCATGCCCCAAGAAAAGACAAACGAAATAGAATGGAAAACCAGGATTGAAAATCTGATTATTGAAGATACTATTCAAAAAGAAAATATTCCATTTTATCAATATTCCGAATTTGAGAATGTAAAATTAATTAATAAAAATGTTTATAAAGCAACTCTTAAATTTTATCAAAAAATCGTTGTTCTTAAATGTATTTCTTTAAATGATAAACTTAAATTGGATAATTTAATTAATAAAGTAAGTTAAATAGATTGCTTAGTTTGTATTCATTTGAATTATATTTAAATTTTTTTTTTTTTTGAATTATTGAATAAGGTTAAAAAATATCGAAAATTGAAAACTCACGATAACATTCTTAAGTTTTATGGCATTAATAAACGTGGTAAAAATAATAATGTTTTTAAACTTAATACTAATAAGCACATGTGATTTTAAATATTTAATTAATTTTTTATAATTATTCAGTGAATATCAATAACTATATGATTATCCTTGAATATGTTAATGAAGGTTCCCTTCGTCAATATTTGAAAACAAATTTCGAAAAATTGAATTGGAATGCTAAACTAAATCTTGCAAAACAAATTTCAATTGCTTTGTTGCATTTGCATTCTACCGATATTATTCATGGAAAATTGGTAATTATTTGATCAAATATGCTTGTAATAAATTAGTTTGAATCTAATTATTTTCTAATAAGATTAATTAATTAATTAGAATTCTGAAAATATTCTTGTTCATAATGGAAATATTAAATTAAATGTTCTTGGAATAATTAATTGTATACCTGATTCTTTAAGATTCCTTACAAACAATTTTGGTCCGATTCAATATATAGAACTTTTTAAAACAATCGGTAAAAATAAGAGTTCGGATATTTTCAGTCTAGGAATTATTCTCTGGGAAATTTCTAGTGGTTATCCTCCTTTTGAAATGGAATCCTCATCAAATGTTGATTTATTAAATAACATTGTGAAAGGTAAAAGAGAAATGATTATACCCGGAACTCCGCCTAAATATAAGGAAATATATATCGGTATGAATTTATAATAATTTATTAAAAATCAGCTACACTGTGACGCAATGAATTGTTAATATCATATCATTACGTAATGGCGGTGAATTATTTTACAGATTGTTGGAAACACGATGTGAATTCACGACCAAACATCACTCAAGTGTTCAAAAATCTTTCTGAAATTATTATCTCTGATACAATTATTGAATTTCTAACTCCTCATAATTTCACAGATGAAATTATTTCTATTCAATTAGAAAAATTAAACATGTAAGTTGTATTTTATATTGTTTATATATTTTTAAATATTTATTAAATTATAAAATTCTTCTTTATTAAGACAAAATAAAAATTCAGAAGTTAAACTCAATCCTCGTTTTTTTGATGTTGTCTCTGATCAAGCTGTATTGTTTATTAAGGATTTATTTGAATTTTTTGTCGATATTTCAGCAAAACAGAACTTAGAAATACAACCAATTATGATCAAAAATTATATTAGAGAACACAAAAGAAATCCAGCTAAAATCCTATATGAAATGATTAGATATCCATCTCATTATTGGTTGACTAGCCTCATGGGATTTTTTTACCAGCACGGCATTGGGACTATTACTGATAATCAAATGGCTTTTAAATTCTTTAATTTAGCTGCCAATGAAATAATTGATATGAAGAATATCTCTTCAAATCTTTCAATAAAAAAATTTTACAACATTAACAAAGAAATGGGAATTATCTATCTTGCACATATGTACTTAGATGGTATAGGAATTGAGAAAGATTTGAAAAAAGGTTTTCAAATCTATTCTAAAGTTGCAAATGAAGGATCCCATAAAGCTTTAAACTGTATAGCATTTTGTTATGAGAATGGGTTTGGTGTTGAGAAAAATGGGAAAAAAGCATTTGAATTATATTTAAAATCCGCAGAAAAAAAAGGTAATCTTGTAGCACAATCTAATGTTGGTTTTTGTTGTGAAAATGGAATAGGAATAGCAAAAGATGAAACTAAAGGATTTCAATGTCTTATGAAATCGGCTCTTTCTGGAAATATGAATGCAATACTTGAAGTTGGTTATAATTATGAAAATGGTATAGGTGTGAGTGTAGATAAAAACGAAGCATTTAAATGGTATTTCAAAGGTGGTGAAAAAGGAGATCCTACTGCGCAACATAATTTAGGAGTTTATTATGAAAATGATAGAAAGCAAGTGAAAGCATTTGAATGGCATAAAAAAGCTGCAGAAAATAATGATTTTGATAGCCAATACATAATTGGAAAATGGTTTCATGAAGGGTATGGAACTAGAAAAGATATTATAAAAGCTGTCCATTGGTTGAATAAAGCAAAGGAGAACGGGAATGTAATTGCAAATGAATTATTAAATGAAATATTATTACATAGATATTGGATTTTAGAAACTTAATAAAATAGATAAAATTGATTTTTATTAAAATGTGACCTCGCTTTTACAAAGATGTGAAAAAGAAAAGTATACGATACAAAATTATTTAATATTTTTTATAAAAAGAAAACGTTCAAAATTTTTTGATTACAAACTAAAAAATTAAAAATTGTATTGTCGAACTTTTTATCGGATTATAATCTTTACAGTTTCACTACCAGTATCATCTGGCAGATAGTACATTTGTACCAAGAAAAACGAAATAGAATGGGAAACCAGGATAGACAATCTAATTAAAAAGTACTATTCAAAAAGAAAATATTACATTTTATCAATATTTCGAATTTGAGAAAAATGTTTACAAAGCAAATTTTTAAAATTTATCAATAAATTGTTTTTTATATTATTTGAATTAACTGTTTATATTTTAAATATTCTTAGGTTATATGGCATTACTAAGCAAGATAAAAATAACTTATTTAATTAGATTTTATAATTATATAGAGAATGCCAATAATATTGAATATGTTCTCTTCGTTAATATTTAAAAACAAATTCAAAGAAATGTTAAATTAAATCTTGATTCTAATTCATGAAAAATCGAATCAAATATTCTTAAATGATTTACTTGTAATTAAACTAGGACTTTAAAAATATTCTCGTTCATAATGGAATAATTAATTGCGTATCTAAATCTTTAAGACTCCTAAAAACCCTTTTGGCTCAATTCAAATTTCTAAGTTGAATGACTGTCAGAGCTTGTTTGATATAAAAGAATCTTTGTTATGCGTAATAATTTGGTTGCCTTCGCCAAAGTATTTCTTTTTTTTCCTGTTCGTTGTAATAACAAGCGCCAGATGGGGCCAGAGACATCATATAAATTTTATAAATAAAAAATTACCAAATAGTTTAAATTTCCCGTCTTCTTAGTGCTTGTAAAAAACCTGTGTTTGCCATCATAAGTTCTCTAATGTTGTTGCCTATGCCAGTAACCTCTAGTTTTTGTAGGAGTAGTCGTTTGAATTGTTGTTTTATTTTTAGGAACGGAGAATGAACGAATGTGAAATTTGATTGTTATTCACTTCGATTTCCTCGAAAATTATATTGTTATAATTACGCTAGTCAGTATTATTTTAGTCACAAATATGCTAGTTATTCACTTGAAATTTAAATTTTAACAATTTTTTTATTATAATTTTTTCTTAAAAAAAAACAATAAATAAAAATGAATAAATAAAAATTAATTAAAGCTATCATTCTTTAAATCAATATTTTACTTTGATTTTTGAACTTTTTGCAAAAAAAAAATATACATAAAAGTTCTTTATTGTAAATGCAATTCGATGCAATGAAATTAAATAACAAAATAAACGAAATAAACGAAATGAAAGATAAATAATAGAAAAAAAAAAAAACTTGCCTATACAATTACTATAAATATTACTATAACTTTTACTTTTATTATCATTGATATGCTCTTTCATATCGTAAATTATCATTTTCATAATTTACGTATTTTTGTTTATCATCGACTCTTTGTTCTCTTTCATCTCTTTCTTTTAAAGCTACTTTCACATTTTCAAATGCTTGAGTTAAAATTTTTCTAGGAGCATGTCTAGTTACACCTAAATCTTCTAATTCTTCATAAGATAAATTTATAATTTCTCTCCAATGCATTCCATCAAAACATCTATAAAATCGGCTTAGATTTAAACCTTTTAACCAATTTTTGAAATCTAAACAAATATATATATTTATTCATTTATTTATTTTGGAAGAGGGATACGATCTTCTATTAGTTAATAAAGTTAATAATGATAAAAATTTAACGCAAAAATATATAATCAAAATAAAAATATAATAAAATAAATAAATATTTACCATTTTCTAATAATTTAAAATTCACATTTTCGTAATTTTCTTTATAGTATTGTAACCAAGTTTTTCCACCTCGGAATGAATGTCCTTTTTTATATACAAATGAACTTTCTGATTTATCAGAAACGTGTGAAGCATCTTTGGGATCTTTCTCCTCCTCTTCGTCAGATTCATCATATTCATCATCATATTCGCCATCAGTTTCTCCTTCATACCCTTCACCTTCATCACGATCACGCATATTACGCGTATCTCGATCTCGATCGCGCAAAGAAGATGATGAAGATTCACTAGCTTTACTTTCCTTTTTAACGTCCTCGTAAAAAGGTATTATTCTATTTTTTCTCGTGGAATTATCATCATTCATTTCTTGTGAAGATGAGGAAGATAACGGCGACGATGATGATGCTTTCATCGTTGTTGATTGTGATGGTGATGGTACATTTTCATTTTCGTTTACATCATCATCATATTCAGAATCGTCATAAGATGATAAAGATTTCTTATTATTTATAATAGAAGAATAATTATCATATGGAGCTTCACGTGGCGATGAAGTGCTAGGTCTGTCGTAGTAATCATCATTTGACATTTCTTGTCTTTCATATCTGTCGCTTGTTTCATATCTACCATCTCTTATACCATCTCTTCTTTCATCTCTTCTATCGTCTCTTCTATCGTCTCTTCTATCGTCTCTTCTATCGTCTCTTCTGTCATCTCTTATTCTGTCATGCATATCATATCTATTAGTACCACTTCTAGGATCACTTCTATCATATATATCACGTCTGTCACCTCGATTACTTCTATCATGCGTCGTATCGTATCTGTCAGTTCGGCTACTTCTTTCATCATATCTTCCACCGCCACCTCTATTTTCATATCTGTCACTTCTACTAACTCTATCATCATATCTTCCACTTCCACCTCTATCGTCATATCTACTTTCTCTTCTATCATATGTATCATATCTACCACTAGCGCTTCTATCGTCATATCTTCCACCACCAAAACTTCTATCATTCATATCATATCTGCTACTACTACTGTTTCTATCATTCATTTCATATCTGTCACTTCTATCATTTCTAGCGAAAGTTCTTACTCCTCCTCCACGTACACTTCTAGGGTTCTTTTCATATCCTCCATCAGATCTACTAATATCATGTCTACTATCGAATCCATCATATCCGCCCCTAGTATCGTATCTACTGTCACTCGTTTCATATCTATCGCTCTTTTTCCTTTCATATCTATCACTCATTATTTCATCTTTTTCATATCTATCAATCTTTTTCGGGGTAGATCTATCGTACTTATCACTAATTGGATATTTATCTTTACTCATTTCGTAGAACTTATCAGCCTTTTCGTATCTATCGCTCATCGCGTGTTTGTCAATCATTCCACCTTTTTCGTACTCATCACTTATCGCGTACTTATCGTTCATTCCACTCTTTTCGTACTTACTACCGCTTATTCTATCCTTTTCGTACCTATCGCTCATTCCAGATTTTTCGTATCTATCAGCTTTTTCGTATCGGTCATTCATTCCATACTTATCAGCTTTTTCGTATCGGTCACTCGTTCCATACTTTTCGTATCTATCACTCGTTGCACTCATTCCACGCCTTTCAAACTTATCACTCGTTGCGAACTTATCACCAATTACATCCTTTTCGTACTTATCACCTGTTCCGTACCTGTCACTCATTCCGTACTTATCGCTTCCATACTTATCATTCCTTTCATTCCTTTCATTCCTTTCATTCCTTTCACTCCTTTCATATATATCACCCCTTTCATGTTTATCACCCATTTCGTATTTATCATATTTATCACCTTTTCCTCTCTCGTCTTGGTTCTCATATTGCTGTTGCTGTTGAAGCTGTTGAAGCTGTTGTTGTTGTTGTTGCGCCATCTCGTACCTATCACTACTATTACTACTCTTTTCACCTTCTTTCGTTGCTAATAAATCAATTTCTTCACTTCTATCATATCTAGTATCACCAAATTCATCATAATATTCTTCATTATCTCGATTCATCATATATCTTTTCGTCATATCCGATTGAACTAATCTTGGTGGTTTCGGTTTTGATAAAATTGTTGATGGTGATGATGATGTTGATGTTGAAGATGATGACGATGATGATGGTTGGGAAGATTGATCATTTTCACCTCCAATAACTATTTCTTTAAAATAATAATTCGTATCTATTTCTGATTCTTCTTTATTATTTCGTTTATTATTATAAGTATTACTATTATGATTATTATTTTTTCGATTAATAAAACTTTCATAATAATCATCATCTTCATTTCTTTGAACTTTTTCATTTCTACTATTAAGACTACTGCTAGAACTGATACCACTAATACCATTACCAGCACTTAGGCGACTACTTGTTTTACTACTGCTAATACCACTACTACTACTACTTTTAAGCGAATCTTCATTTACATATTTTGGCATTTGAGATTGTGATGATGATGATGATGAAGACAATGACGGTGAAGACGATGATGATGATAATGATGACAATTCACCACTTCTTTTGTATCTTAAATCCTCCTCACTTCTTTCATCTCTGAATGAACTACTTTTTTGTCTGGATGTTGTCGTTGTTGTTGAAGATAGGGGGGAAGATGCAGAAGATGATGATGGTGTTGTGGATGTTGCGGTTGTTGAAGATTGTTGTGAAGAAGATAGAGGAGATTTTGTTGAAGATGATGTTGTTGTAGATTGTTGTGAAGAAGATAAAGAAGATTTTATTGGAGTAGTAGTTGAGGAGGATGATGAAGGTGGTGATGTAGATTGTGATGAAGACGGGGAAAATGAGGAGGAGGAGGAGGAGGGTGAAGATAATGATGGAGATTTTGAAGTGGAGGGAGAAGTAGTAGTTGAGGGAGTTCTTAAAGTTGAAGGGCTTCTTGAAGTTGAGGAAGAAGTAGTCGAAGGAGTTCTTGAAGTTGAAGTTGAAGTTGAGGAAGGTGTTCTTGAGGATGAGGATGAGGATGGAGATTGCGAAGTTGAAGCGGAAGAAGAAGGTGGTGATGATTTCAAAGTTGATGCAGATGAAGAAGTGGGAGATTGTGAAGAAGTTGAAGTAGAGAAAGATGATGGTGAGGTTTTAATAGTATCTGAGGAAGAAGACGACGTTGGAGAAGATTTTAAAGTAGTAGAAGTAGAGGAAGAAGTAGGAGATTGAGAAGAAGTAGTTGAGGCAGAGGACGATGGAGATGTCTTTGAAGTCTTTGAAGTAGTAGTTGAAGCAGAAGACGTTGGAGTTGTCTTTGAAGTAGTAGTTGAAGCAGAAGACGTTGGAGTTGTCTTTGAAGTAGTAGTTGAAGCAGAAGACGTTGGAGT